CGCGCCGCTGCTGGGCAGCGTAGGCGGCCGGGAGCCGATAGCAGGGAGCCTGGTGAAGGGGACACCAAGCCACGCGCGCTCCTGCCAGTCGCTGACTGCTTACAAACTGATTATTTTTATTTACTTGCTTATTTTTAAGAACGTCTGCTTAGAGGCTTAGGTCTTCTCTTGAACCTGCAGCGACGCCCCAGGGCGAGCACAAAGACTCCGACGGCAGCCGGCGGGACTGTGGAGTGCGCGGACGCAGGCGCCAGAGGTCGCCTGTTCGCAAGAGCCTCAGCCTCCAGGGACTCTCCGGCCTCCGCCAAGCCGCTGCTGCGCTGGGACGAGGTGCCCGACGACTTCGTGGAGTGCTTCATACTATCCGGCTACCGGAGGCTGCCCTGCACGGTGCAGGAGTGCCTAGCCTCGGTGCTGAAGCCCACCAACGAGACTCTCAACTTCTGGACGCACTTCATCCCCCTTCTGCTGTTCCTGAGCAAGTTCTGCCGCCTGTTCTTTCTGAGCGGCCGGGATGTACCCTTCCACCACCCCTGGCTGCTGCCGCTGTGGTGCTACGCGTCGGGCGTACTGCTGACCTTTGCCATGAGCTGCACAGCGCATGTGTTCAGCTGCCTGTCGCTGCGCCTGCGAGCCGCCTTCTTCTACCTGGACTATGCGTCCATCAGCTACTACGGCTTCGGTAGCACGGTGGCCTACTACTACTACCTGCTGCCGGGCCTCAGCTTGTTGGACGCCAGAGTGATGACCCCTTATGTGCAGCAGCGCTTGGGCTGGCATGTGGACTGCACGCGCCTCATCGCCGCCTACCGTGCGCTCGTGCTGCCTGTGGCCTTCGTGCTGGCAGTGGCCTGCACCGTGGCCTGCTGCAAGAGCCGCACAGACTGGTGCTCTTACCCGTTCGCATTGCGCACCTTCGTCTTCGTTATGCCGCTCAGCATGGCCTGCCCCATCATGCTTGAGAGCTGGCTCTTTGATCTGCGAGGCGAGAACCCCACGCTCTTCGTGCACTTCTACCGCCGCTACTTCTGGCTGGTGGTGGCTGCCTTCTTCAATGTGAGCAAGATCCCCGAGCGCATCCAACCTGGCCTCTTTGACATCATAGGCCACAGTCACCAGCTCTTCCACATCTTCACTTTCCTCAGCATCTACGACCAGGTGTACTACGTCGAGGAGGGCCTGCGCCAATTCCTCAAGGCGCCGCCTGCTGCTCCCACCTTTTCGGGCACCGTGGGCTACATGCTGCTGCTGGTCGTCTGTTTGGGGCTGGTCATCAAGAAGTTCCTGAACAGCTCCGAATTCAGCAGTAAAAAGTGAGCCTCTGCCTTGCAGAAGGCTGCTGGTTTGCACCTGTTTGTACTTTCTGTTTTTACTGTTATTGGTTTGTTTTCCAGTTTTGTTGTTTCCTTCTTTGCTCAAGGAGGGTGCTGCAGAGCCACAGGGGAAAAGTCCAATATGACGGGGGTGGGGTGGGGGGTGGGGATCCAGTGCACTTGGGGCTTTGGATGAGGGAAGTGGGTCAAGCAGGAGGGGGAGGGCCACTGGTTTTTGCCCATGGACAAAATTCAGGTGGTGTCTGTGACATCCAGGGAGTTTTTGAAGGCAGCGAATAAAATCCCAAATAAAACCCAAAACAGTTATATTTTCCAGTCGTCTTCTGTGCCAGCGGTAATAATACGTAGCCCGTGTGAGGTCAGGTATGCATTTAAGAGGGTAAGTAGACAAAATCCCTGGATACTTCCATTTCAGTCTCAGGAGGGCTTGGATTTGTCAAAAGAATGGAGCTTTGTAGCAAACGGGCACAAAGACATAAGCCCAGGGCTTAACATACTAGAAAATGCATGGAATGTGAACAACACAAGTTAATTATTTCAAAATGTTTCTCAGATGTTATTTAAATAGTAATATATACAATAATTTTCATAAGCCTGTTATATGCACTGAATTTTGTGATGTAGTTATGAATTTCGCAGCCCTTCTGCATTGCATACACTTGAACTGGACATCAGGGCAAGCTGCTTGAGAGTTCTCAACTACTTTCTTAAACAGTGTTTTCTGAAGGCCTGTGTGCCATGATTCAAATGTGAATTATTCTACCATAGGAACTCTGGTTAGACTATTGGTGAGGAGCTCAGTGGTCTGTGTAGATCCCAGATGCCCATTTACTGGAATGTATTCCACAAAACCTATCCTATTTTTGGTTTGTTTTGCTTTTAATCTGATTCTTTCCTTCTCTACTTATTTAAATTACCACTAGAATAAATGTGCCTTTGAAGCAATGCCCAAATGACTGGTCCTCAAATATAGGGGAGAGCAGTTGGAGTAAACTTTGCTTACTATACTGCAAATCAGGGTTTAACATTCCACCCAGGAGGGAAGGAAGAGGAAGTTGGTTTCAAGTTTTTGGTAGCACCAGAAGTAGCTTACCAGGACATACAGAGCATCTGGCTTTTCTACTAGGAGAAGGGGCCAACCCACTAATGTGGCTATAGTTCCTAGTGCAGCCGATGGGGAAGTTGAGAGGACACTGTTCTAGTCTGATGCCATCTATCGTTGCTAAAATATAATACTCAGGAATAAATGAAGCAGTTATAGTGTGACAGGCAGGAGCATATTGCTTAAATTGTAACTGAAATTTTTGAGTTAAATAGGATTACCTTTGCCTAGTTAAATACTGAAGTCTCATTTGGATGCAGAATATGGTAATGAATGCCGGTTGTCCTAAATCATGGAGAAATGAGTGAACACGCTCCTGAGATCCTTTCTAAAAACCACATTGGCCAGTGTTATTTAAGACATTTTTTTATAAAAGCTAACCTGTACTTGAGATGGCATCCCTAGATTACCACTAAGGTAGTTTATTTAAATACCTATCACACTTCTGAGAAATCCTTTTGGTTAGGAGCCAAATAAGTCATTGAATGGAAAGTGTTGACCTCATGGTATAATTTAGATCAGCCACATCAAGTAGATGAACATTCACCTCAGCACTGGTAGGCTGATGCCCCTAAATATATTGCTGTTTTTGTTTGTACTTTTGATCACTACTATATTTATAAACTGAGGAGGCTGGCACAGTTCCTTGGAGGAACCAGTATGCTGGCATGTTACTTTTCACATAGAAGTTAACTTTATATATGTTATATTTAATTTAGAGCTTCTTAATGGGGATTGTGTTTCATCTTTGCAGGTTTGCTAAGGAGATGTCTGTTAAGGTACAGAGGCTGAAAATTTGTGTCTACTACAGATGTCATTCCTCACCTGTAACTTAATTCAGTATATGCATTCAGGGGCAGGATATTTCCACCTGCAAAGTTATTTGCATGTCATTATTTTTTTATTATTTATTTTATTTTTTTAAAATAAATTTTATTGATTTTTTACAGAGAGGAAGGGAGAGGGATAGAGAGTTAGAAACATCGATGAGAGAGAAACATCGATCAGCTGCCTCCTGCACACCTCCCACTGGGGATGTGCCCGCAACCAAGGTACATGCCCTTGACCAGAATCAAACCCGGGACCCTTGAGTCCGCAGGCCGATGCTCTATCCACCGAGCCAAACCGGTTAGGGCTGCATGTCATTATTGTCTCTTCTAAAGTCTCAAAAGAAGCTAAAGACATAACTTGATGAGTATTTTCTAGCTTCTTTGTAAAATGGGACCTCCATTTTCAGAAGGAACTTTAAAGAGACAGCCTTCTAAAAAGGCTTGAGTTTGAGAACAAAAAATAAATCTGATATTTATCATTTAAAATTTTTGTTTGTTGTAGATCTGGGTCTGCAAACAGAATTCTCTTCTTGCCCTGTGTTATTGTTCTTAAGAAGAAGCCAGTTAAGGATAAAATTACACCCACATCGTTTTCAAATGATTATGATGCCATTTTTTCTTCAAAAGTTTCCTTCCTCCACTTTCCCCTTCCCATCCTATCTTAGTTTTTATATACCACATATACCATTGACAACAGGAAATTCTAGTTGAAAACAGAATTTTTGGTTTCACTTCACTTCATATTTGCAAATAGATACACGAACACTGCACAAGTTCAGGGATGTTTGTAAAACTATATATGTTATTTGCTAAATTAGATCAGATTTCTTTCAAGGTAGATGATGAAATTTTAGAATCAGCAAATATTTACTAAGTCTCCAAATTTGCATGGGACTATTCAGGTATATTACATATATCAGGGGTCATATGGCCATCAGAATAAAATAGCTTTAAAAATATTTTTCACACTCTCCATTTTGCCACCTCCTTTAAAATCCAGTTTTACTTTATTGTGTTCAGCTGTTTGAAATGCAGGACAAATGATAAATAAGAGTGCCCTTCTTTATCTCTGTAAAATCTATTTTGAAAGCATAGAATTTTTAAGTATATTATATAATGCATTTTACTTTTACATGTTTGTCATAATCTAGATGACATCTCAAGCAGCAGCATCATAGAGTCATGCCTGAGAAATGAGGATGTTTGACTTCAATGCCTATCACCCTGTAGGGTTGGTCTCTGGGGCTGACAGGCTGATTCATTTGACTAAAGGGGGTCCCTTTCTTCCCTGCCCTTGCAGCTGTACCCCCAGCTGAAGAAGATGGCCTTCCCTGAGAGAGGAAGTGAGTTCTTTGGTCATGTCATGATTGGCTTGTAAAAATAAATGTGCTCTTTTCCACTGGCTAGCCACTTTCTCTAAATAGCCCAAGAAGAAAGTATGGGACTTTAAAGCTGGTCAGAGTGGCCTTCATATGTCTCCATTCATAAACCCTGCCTGCAAGTGTTTGCAGTCAAAAACTGTTTAGCCGAAGTCATTATGCTACTTCAGGGCAATCATTTCTAAGAAGGCAAAATTTAGGGATGGGGTGATTTTTATTAATTTTTTTCTGATTTGGTGCTTAATCTGAGGGCTAACAGCAATTAAAAACAGGTATTTTTATCTTCAAATTTCTTCACAACTTCAGTTAACCCATACAAAGCTATAGGAGAAGAGTTACAGTAGGAGTTATCTTCATTTCAAGGTTATACTGTTGGTTCATGGTGACAGAATTATTTTCAAACTGGCATTAGAATGTGGGGATGGTTTTGTGCTTGTTATGAGTGTTTGCTGATTTGTCTGGCCAAGCACAAACATAATTGGAGAATGAATATATATATGTATATGTATATTAGAGTGAAGTAAGATATGGCTATCCTTTAATTTAGATAATAAAATCTTATACAAAATGTTATCAACTACTTAATTTTTATCCTCTTGGATTATTCACCTGTTGAAGTCTGCCACAGCTGATTTCTCTCTGTCAGTGTCTTTGAGTTGACTTTTATCCATTTGTACATGATCTTTGAGCATACACTGCATGATAGACATTGGTGAGGATTCCTCACATTAATACAGCTGTTACCCTTTTGTCTGTGGGTGGAACAAAACTAGAAAGGCCATGAGGCCAGGGACCAAACCCTGATCTTTGCATAAGCAGATGTCCCAAGCCACTAAGTTTGATCCTTTTCTCCTTTCTATTAGCATAAGAACAATGCTTAGAATCTTATTTTAATTAACATGCTACTTACCCACAATCAAGTTCTTTCTTTTTGAATCTGTCTGCTCCTAAGCCTTTGTGAATTTTATGGTTAAAAATAACTAGAAAATTGAATGTAAATCCAGGTGAAGGGAGATTATATATATTTTAAATTTATCATCACTACTAGTTAACAAAGACTGATAATAATCATATTTGGAAGGTTTATAGTAGTCATAACATTATGAAGTAAGGTTCATCCAAAGTGCCTAAATTGTGATGTAATTAAGTGTCTGAATTTTATACATAGCATAAGTTTAAAAATATGCAAGCTTAAATGCTTACAGCTCCAAAGATTAATGTTCTTTAGCCTTTTTCCTCCCTTTAGGTCTTTGCGGTATAATCTATGAAACATGTCTTAGAAAAAAATATCTGGAGGAAATTATAAAGAACAGGTATCAGATATAAAAATGATAGGAAGAAGGCATGAGAAAGGGAGAATAAGAAAGATTAGACTTCACCCAAATGGAATAGCAAGTTCAACTATGGACAATTTCACCTGAGTTTTAAATTTTGTCCCTAGAAAAGCATGTGAATTCCCCTGCTGTTAGCACTCAAATATGCAGGCAAGAAATTGTTTTTGGCAGCCCAACCACATCCTATAGCTTTGACCTGAGCACTAGTGCCCAGGTATATTTTGATTGGTACACTTGCCCCTGGCTTAATGACCTTATTTTTTTCTATAAAATTATGGCATAAGGGAAAAAAGGGGATAGCACCAGATAATTGTAAATTGACTTTTGAATCATTTTCTTGAAAGGTTGCCAATATTCTGTCATATATTGTTTAACAAAAAGCGAATGAGCCAGGCTAAGATGGAAAAGGAAGCGTTCATTGGCTGAAGCTGAGAATTACTGTATTCCTTTGTGAAAGGCAGCATGCCTTCCTATTGAAGATTTTATTTCTTCAGTGTTATGAATAACTATTTTTAAAATATGAAAATGGGGGTCAGTTCTTCTGAGTCACTTTTCCAAAAAGTTAATATAAAATTTTGTTGTTAAAAAAGGACAAAATGTATTACATTTCTGGTTTGCAGACTTCTAACTAGTTTGTAGGCTTTTTTGTTTTAGAAAAG